TTAGATTAATGCCTGGAACATAATAAGCACTTTAAGAACTAGTTGCTATTATAGCTGATGCTGTTTTTTATTTCTTTTTTCTGCAACAGTTTATTTAGAATGGGAAATAACTGTTCCTTGAGACTAAATCACTACTAAATTATCTAGGCCTGGAGGCTTTTGCTTAAACAGTTTTCCATTTTTTTTTCCTCCTCCTAAATTTCTTCCTGGCTGATTTATTATCTATTGAGGCTTTGAGCTTTTTTTTCCTGAGTCAAATATCACATTTTTTTCTAAATTTTGCTTTTGTTCTCTTTTAAATTAGATGTGATTTTTTTTTTCTGTCAAAAACACTTCTTAGATTCTTATATAGGAGTCTACTTTATTCTTTGTGCTTCCTACTTTCTCAGGGTCCTTTTTGCATGTTTATTTAACTTAAATTGAATAAACAGTTATCTGATTTTTTTTTCCCCCCTTAAACCATGTAAGCATTTAAGGCTATGAATTTGCCTCTGATTTCAGCTTTCAGCAAAATTTGGAAGATGGGGTAAGTACTTTAATATTCATACATAATTATTTGTTAATAATGTAATAAATGATACCAGGCTCTTTTTTGCCTAAAATTTTTTTTATTGTGGTCAGGATAAGTTGCAGGTTTTATAAATGTTGCATGGGTGCTTAGAAACAGGTATTCTTGACTGAGCATGGTGGCTTACACCTGTAATCCCAGCACTTTGGGAGGCCAAGGCAAGCAGATCACTTGAACCCAGGAGTTCAAGACCAGCCTAGGCAACATGATGAAACCCCATCTCTACAAAAAATTAGCTGGGCGTGGTAGTGTGCACCTGTGGTCCTAGCTACCAGGGAGGCTGAGGTGGGTGTATCACTTGAGCCCAGGAAGTCAAGGCTGCAGTGAGATGAGACCATGCCACTGCACTACAACCTGGGCAACGGAGCGAGACCCAATCTCAAAAAAAAAGTTTTGAAAAAGAGAAATAGGTATTGTTTATAAAGGTAAAATTTGATATTTATTCAGTCTTACACTATTTAAATCCTGTCTTTCATACTTTTTTCACAAATGTTCAATCGATGAAACATTATTATCTTTATCATAGCTTTGGCTTTGTTTTCTGCATGGTCTATAGCCATCATAAAAAGTAGTTCTTTCCCGATTTTAACAGTTTCTGCCTTCTCATAATTTATGATACATGCCAACCCTTTTTACCTTTTTGTTTGTTTGTTTTTGAGACAGAGTTTCGCTCTTGTTGCCCAGGCTGGAGTGCAGTGGCGTGATCTCAGCTCACTGCAACCTCCACTTCCCTGGCCCAAATGATTCTCCTGCCTCAGCCTCCCATGTAGCTGGGATTACAGGTATGTGCCACAACGCCTGGCTAATTTTGTATTTTTAGTAGAGATGGGGTTTCTCCATGTTTGCCAGGCTGGTCTTCAAACTCCTGACCTCAGGTGATCCACCCACCTCGACCTCCCAAAGTGCTGGGATTACAGGCGTGAGCCACCACACCCAGCCTCTTTTTACTTTATAATTGGATTTTTAAGCTTTTGTCTTACAGTAACTTAAGATGTGGAACTGTAACAGTAACAGTCCATTGCCCATTGTGCGTGACAAGTCAGTGTGCAAGACCCTGGGCTGCAGCAAAGAAAGATGTTTAATTGCAGGGCCACCGAATGAGGAGACTAGAGGAAACTTCAGATCTGTCTCTCTCAGGCTTTAGGAAGTGGGCCAAGGTACAGCCTGTTTATTGCCTAGTTATAACTATATTTCTGTCCAGGACACAGCATGCAATTCTTATAAGTCCTGTGAGGGCAGTCTCAGAACTTGTCCTACTGGCATTTACCTTTATTTAGCAGATAAAGATACATGTTACCGATATTTCACCATGTGAACCAAGGGGAACCAGGAGCTAGGTAAAATACGAGAAAAAAAGGAAAATACAAGGAAAAAAGGAAACTTAACACGTTTTAGAATACTTCACTGAAGGTAAGCAGTGCCTCCAAAGGTCAGTGATCTGGAAAACATTTGAAAAGTGCTCTTGACAATTCTAGGGAAAAAATGGAAAGGAAGAGAGAAAACATAGAGAACCAGAAAGTAAATGGTATTTCTTTTCTTTTCTTTGTTTAAGAGACAAGGTCTCCCTCTGTTCCCCAGGCTGGAGTACAGTGGCAAGATAATTTCACTGTAACCTTGAAGATCCCCCTTGGCCCTCTGAAGTTTCGCTGGAAAATAAAATTGTTTGCAAAAGGCAGATTAATTGGAGAAAAGGAATATACATTTATTTAATGTGTATACATGGGGGCCTTCAAAGACCTGACCCCGCCCCCAATGGGGTGTAGAAATTTTCTTTTTTTTTTTTTTTTTTTTTTTTTTGAGATGAAGTCTTGCTCTGTCGCCCAGGCTGGAGTGCAATGGTGTGATCTTGGCTCACTGCAACCTCCGCCTCCTTGGTTGAAGCGATTCTTCTACCTCAGCCTCCCGAGTTGCTGGGACTACAGGCATGCGCCACCACGACCGGCTAATTTTTGTATTTGTAGTAGAGACGGGGTTTCACCATGTTGGCCAGACTGCTGTCGAACTTCTTACCTCAGGTGATCCGCCCATCTCAGCCTCTCAAAAGTGCTGGGATTACAGAAATGAGTCACTGTGGCTGGCTGGGTGTAGGAACTTTATACCATCTTCAGGTTACAGAAGTAATGTGAGCTCCCAGCATGGCCAAAAACATGTTCTTTTGGTAAATCAGGTTTTAGTGGCAAGACAGCTTAAGGGGAGGGAAAGGGGACCTGACTAGGAAAGGTGGTCTTGTTAGTAGCTTTCTCAGAGAATGGATGTTAAATGTTTAAGACCTTTAAAGGTGTCAGACAGGCTCTCATTTACCCTTTTCTAGATTCCAGACAAGGGAAGTCCTGGCTGCATTAATGGAGATTCTCCATAGATGCAAATTTCTTCCACAAAAGAAAGCTTTGCAGCACCACTTCTGTTTGCTGGCCCTCTGACAGCCATCTCAAAATATGTCAAATAAATATAATTTGAGGTAAAATATTTTTATTTCCTTCAACCACTACCTCTCCTTCTTCCCCAGCCAGTCCTTAAGCAGTCATTTAAAAAACGAAAAACTTTCACCTAACTGAATTCTTAATTCTTCATTCCATGGGCTTGCCTAAACCTTTGTCATTTTTGGAGGAAACATCAGAGTACTTTATTTTCTAAACTCTTCTGTGTTTGAGACACACCTTTTAGTATCTTATTTTGTTTCATTAAAAACAGATGTTCTGTCACTTGTTTTCTTGGATTGAATGTAATAGAAATAAGAACTACGGCTACCTATTTTTCTAACTAGATATTAGAGGAATTTAATACATTTTCTCCAGAATGTCTTAGTATGATTTTCTGCTAATTAATTTTGCCAATAAAATACGCTCTATAGGGCCGGGCATGGTGGCTCATGCCTGTAATCCCAGCACTTTGGGAGGCCGAGGCAGAAGGATCACCTGAAGTCAGGAGTTCGAGACCAGCCTGGCCTACGTGGCAAAATTCTTTTTTTTTTTTTTTTTTGAGACGGAGTCTCGCTCTGTCGCCCAGGCTGGAGTGCAGTGGCCGGATCTCTGCTCACTGCAAGCTCCGCCTCCCGGTTCATTATATTCTCCTGCCTCAGCCTCCTGAGTAGCTGGGACTACAGGCACCCACCACCTCGCCCGGCTAGTTTTTTGTATTTTTTAGTAGAGCAGGGGTTTCACCGTGTTAGCCAGGATGGTCTCGATCTCCTGACCTCGTGATCCGCCCGTCTCGGCCTCCCAAAGTGCTGGGATTACAGGCTTGAGCCACCGCGCCCGGCCCAAAATTCTTGTCTCTATTGAAAATACAAATATTAGCTAGGTGTGGTGGTGTATGCTTGTATACTCAGGAGGCTGAGGCACGAGAATCACTTGAACCCGGGGAATGGAGGTTGCAGTGAGCCAAGATCGTGCCACTGCATTCCAGCCTGAGCTACAGAGCGAAACTCTGTCTCAAAAAAGAAAAAAAAAAGAAATACGCTCTTTAAAATCTTCCCCCTTAGGACTTAAAAATCTGAGTTTTTCTATTATCTTTATGTTTTCTGTTATGTTAGATTATTGCTTCAGAGTACCTTTTTTTTTTTTTTTTTTTTTAAAGAAACACCATTTAAGCTGGGCATGGTAGCATGTGCCTATAGTCCTAACTACTTAGGAGGCTGAGGCAGGCAGATCACTTGAGAACCCAGGAGTTCAAGGTTACAGGGAGCTATGGTCATGCCACTGCACTCCAGCCTAAGTGACACAGCAATACCTTATCTCTTACAAACAAACAAAAAAATCTTACTTGTTGGTTCTCTGTTTCTTCTCTTTTTCCATTTTTTCCCAGAATTTTCAGAGCACTTCTCAGATGTTTTCCAGATCAATGACCTTTGGACGCAATGTTAGTTTCTGCTTATCTTTAATGAAGTATTCTCATGTTTTGGATTTCCTTTTCTCTTCTCATCCAGCTCCTGCTTCAGTTATAAGTTTTTGTAAGTCGGGGCAGATAATTATTGAAAGGCATTTAACTAAAGTATAGGAAGTTAAGAACGTGGGCTCTGGAGCTCGACTAACTTGGAGTTGAACCCTAGCCAACTTTTTGCCCTTGGAATTTATTTAGCTACTCTATGTCTCAATTTCCTTATTTATAAGGGAGGGATAATAATGGTACCCACTCTTAGAAGTTTTTGCGACAATTAAATGAGTTTATACATACAAAGCACATAACAAGCCTCAAAAGTTGTTGATGATTACAGATGTTTTTGAAAATACTCTTCCTCTGAATCTTAAGAGCAGTTGATTTTTCCCATATATTGTCATTTTGCTCCTTCAAAGGATCTACAATACATTATTTGCCAACAGATAATGTGTACACAATGACCTTTACTGCCCCCTCCTCTTCCTGAGGGGGAGTTTTCCCTCTTCAGAGCTGCAGTTGAGGGTGGTGTGCATAGCCCCTGCCTGTAGTGTTTTAATTTTTTCCCAGATAAAATGCAATGCAAGATACTTGTGCTACAGTCTGTCCTGCTTAAGAAAAGGCATTATGGTTTATTGGAAGTGGTGATCTGTTCCCTTTTTTATAAATCCATTCAGTTTATCAGTTTCTACCTCCTTTCCCACTCTCTATGCTGCTGTAGTAATTCAGAGCCCAAACTGCAGGGTTTTCTATTTGACTTCCCCCAACCCTGAATGTTGAGGTTATAAGAAATTGCCCCCACTTTAGACCCTGAGCACATGGGCTTCTGTCTTGTTTTGTAGTACTGTTGCACACACTGTGGTTTGAGTGATTATATGAAGCACTGTTAGTTTGTCCAGAATAGTCAACTCTTACTGTAAAGAAAAGTAATTTACTAAATGTAAATTACCTACAGAGAACATTCACTTGACCTTTAACAATCCTCAAAAATATAAATTTGTTCTCACAAATGGAAGCTTCTAGCTGCTTACATAAGTCACTAATATTACACATTGGTATTTCTACTATATTTCGATTATAAGTATAGACTCAGAATGCAAAGATGTATCAGACTTTTCAAGGTTACCAAAAAGCAGAAGAAAAAATTTAATTTCAAAAGGTTTTGGGATTTTATTTTGATTTTTAAAAGTTAACATAGAAAATAATATAAATGAAACAGCTTATCTGAATATAAGCTAACCCACAGTAGTCACACTGATTACAGCAGGCCTTCTGGTCACATAGGGTTGTCTCTTTAAATAGCAGGTTGTCTACAGCTTCTGAATTAGCATGGCAGAAGCACCTCCTCCTCCATTGCAAATACTGGCAAGACCATATTCTCCTTGCTTCAAGGCATGAGTCAAATGACCAACAATCCTGGCTCCAGACATTCTAAAATTAAAAAAGCATTTACTTCTTTAATGAAGTACAGAATTTATGAGTAACCAAAATGTTTCTATTCCAATTTAACTTCATGAAAACCTTACTAGCCACTACTTCTTGCTGAATTAACTACTACTATTCTAAAACTAAAACTTGGAGGACTTGTTTCAGGAAGGGTCACAGATCTTAGATCTTTTATTTATTTATTTATTTATTTATTTATATATATATATATATATATATATTTTTTTTTTTTTTTTTTTTTTTTTTTTGAGATGGATCTTGCTCTGTTGCCAGGCTGGAGGTGGCAGTGGTGCATCTCAGCTCACTGCAACTTCTGCCTCCCGGGTTCACGCCATTCTCCTGCCTCAGCCTCCCAAGTAGCTGGGACTACAGGCGTGCACCACCACACCCAGTAATTTTCGTATCTTAAAGTACAGAAGAGTATAATGGAAGATGGAAGGGGGATGTGGAATAAACTACATATTGGGTACAATGCACACATTTGGGTGACAGGTGCACTGAAATCAGCCCCCACCACTATAAATTCATCCATGTAACCAAAACCCACAGTACCCTAAAGCTAATGAAATAAATAGGAAGGAGAAAGAAAAAGGGGGGGAAAAGTCTAAATGTACACTTTATTTTTCTTCTTCAACATAAAAGGTTATTAGGTTTCAAATAACAGATGTGACAGGTCTCTGTTCAGTATTGGATACCATCTATCAGAAATGATTTTTGCCTTATGAAAGATGGGTAGGAAGGAAAACTTAAATCAAGAGCAATAGGAATTATGAGTTTTAAGTTTAGCTAGAAACACAAAGGCAGCTATTAACCTAGATATAGTTATTATTTTTACCTACCCAATTGGATGCCCCAGAGAAACAGCTCCTCCATTGATATTCACTTTTTGGGGATCAATCTCCAACATTTTAATGTTTGCTAGTACAACCAGACTAAAGGCTTCATTTACTTCCCACATTGCAATATCTTCTTTTTTTAATCCCACATCTTTAAGAACCTAAGATTTTTTTAAAAGACAGATGATGTTCAAATAATTAGCAATCACAACTTACTGTCATTTCCTTGAAATACTACAATTGGAAGTTCTTAGTTTCAGATGGAAGGATCTCTATTTTCAGATTTTTTTTTTTTTTTTTTTTTTTTTTAGACGGAGTCTTGCTCTGCCTCCCAGGCTGGAGTGCAATAGTGCCATCTCGGCTCACTACAACCTCTGCCTCCCAGGTTCAAGCAATTCTCCTGTCTCAGCCTCCTGAGTAGCTGGGATTACAGACACCCACCACCATGCCCAGCTAATTAAAGATGGGGTTTCACCATGTTGGTCTCAAAACTCCTGACCTCAGTTGATCCGCTCACTTCAACCTCCCAAAGTGCTGGGATTATAGGCATGAGTCACCATGCCTGGCCTATTTTCAGATTTTTAGTTGCTTATCCTATTCCATTATATCAAAGAATTTTGTTTGCATTATGTGTATTTGGACATAGAGGACAGAAAATTTGGTTTTCTTTCCACAGATGTTTGAAAAGGTACATTTTCTATTTAGGGGTACATAATGCTTTATATATTCTTAAGCTCTGCTTTACTGATTGTGTGTTGCTTAGTTCTACATTCTTTTTTGTTGTTGTTGTTGTTGTTGATTTGTTTTGAGACGGGGTCTTGCTTTGTTGCCCAGGCTGAAGTGGAATGGCACAGTCATGGCCCACTGCAGCCTTGATCTCCCAGGCTCAAGCGATCTGCCTGCCTCGGCCTCCCAAACCCGGGTTCACGCCATTCTCCTGTGCCTCAGCTCGAGTAGCTTGGGACTACATGGCGCGCCGCCACCACCACCCCCGCCGCCCGCCCGGGCTTAGTTTTTTTTTTTTGTATTTTTTTAAGTAGAGCGGGGGCGGGTTTTTCCACCGTGTTAAGCC